AATATTATCCTACCTAATACTGTTTCTGTGGAACTCAAGGGTAGATTCTATTATATATGTCATTTTCTTTTTCTTTTTTTTTTTTTTTTTTTAAGATTTTATTTATTTATTCATAAGAGAGAGAGACGCAGTGGAAGAAGCAGGCTCCCAAGGAGCAGAGAGCCCGATGCGGGACTCGATCCCAGGACTCTGGGATCATGACCTGAGCCGAAGGCAGACGCTTAACCATCTGACCCACCCAGGCGCCCTATATGTCATTTTCTAACATGGTGATAGAAGAGTTGGCCAAGTAGTAAGATGGACACAAAGGAAAGGTACAAAGTCAGATTTCTTCAGATTAGGGAACTGAGACCTGGACAAAGGATATGTGTATATTAAGATGTTTTGGTCCCGGAAGTTTTAAAACTGATCAGTAAAATTATGTAATGTCTGATTGTTTATTATGTATGTTTGCTATTCTTATAGTTGGAAGGAAGCAGAGAATATATTTGATGTCTATGGATAAATCAGGGCTAGATCTCCACATGGCTGAGGGAAGTGGCTGCTTCTTCCATGAATAGGCCTCAAGAATGCAAGCCATACCAACTCTTCCTACCAGCAATCTACTCTGCCTAAAAATTACTATAGGAAAATGTTTGTCTGAATTTTTAGGGTTCCCCCCCATGTGTTCTTTTTTTAAATACAAATACTCCAGAGAAAAGATATCAACGACTAACTGGCAAGTGAGAGAAAGGTGTGGAGCCTGCTTAAGATTCACTCTTAATCCTTCTGTCCTCCCCTCCCTTTCTCCCTCTCTTTAAAAAAAAAAAAAGTATATAGAGAAGAGAATAAATAAAATCCCATAATTCTATCACCCACAGATAATCACTATTCACATTTAGTCTGTTTTCCTTGTCCCATGCCTAATGGTGTTCATAATTGACATTAGTATACTTTTGTTTATGTATCTGTATTTTCTCATGTCATTAACTGTCAGCATTTCTTTTTTGTCAGCATAATTTTCACTGTATATATTTAATAAAATGGGTGTACAGTAAGTCAGTTGAGTCTTTTAGTTGTTCCTACTGGGATTTAAAATTTCATAGTTTTGTTAGTAGTCCACTTTAGGGGGCTTTTTGCAGTGAGCCAAGCAGTGGAGGTGCTGACTAGGATAGGCCTGCACCAGCATTTAAGTCAAGGAAGGAGGACCATAGCTGAACCAGTTACATAGGAATTGTTCTTTTCTTCTCCCAGCCCTCAGTATACTGAAGGGAAAGAGAGGCCCAGAAAACTGGAGAGGGATGAGAAAGAATCAAATCACTATTATACCTTTCTTTCTCAGTGAAGGTTCTTTAGGCCTCAGGCCAAGCCTGTCCTAGGGGAGGGGAAAGAGCTTTAAATTAGATATGACTGACATTTTAAATTGGATTAAATTGACTTCAAGAAGACTTTTTTTGAATACTTGAAAATTATTGGAAAGCTAAAGAAACTGGTTAAGATATTCAGGGAAAGGAAGGAGAAATTCTGGATGGCAAATTGAAAGCGATGATTGGAGAAAAATAAGCCACTTCTTGTTTTAATTCCCCACCAAGTAATATTGGGACATTTTTTTGATTAACTTTAATGATATTAGTGGAGAAGAGAGATTTGACATGAACTTTATTGCCTCTAAAAGTAGTTAGCCATGTGGATGAGGCATGTGAAAGTGTGATTCTTCAAGTGGTATAGATATGGATTCTCTGAACTCAAGGGAGAATGGATGATCTTCTCCTGTCTTTTTTCTTAAAAAAAAAACAAAACAAAAACAAACTTTTGGTAGGGGGGGATTTGGAGATGTGGATCAAAGGGTACAAACTTTCAGTTATAAGCTGAGTAAGTCCGGGAATCTAATGTACAGCATGATGATTATAGTTAATAATACTATATTGTATACTTGAAATTTGCTAAGATCTTAGATGCTTTCACCAAACACAAAAAATGGTAACTATATGAGGTGATAGCTGTGTCAATTAACTTGATTGTGGTAATCATTTTATAATGTATACATATATTAAATCAATACATTGTACCTCTTTAAAAAAAATCACATTGTATATATAATTTTTATCAGTCATAACCTCAGTAAAACAGGAAAAGAGTCTTTTTCCTCTTGATCATAACACTAATATATTCATATTGTAAAGAATTTTAAAACTTCTGAAAAGTACAGGTAATAAACATCAATGCAATCCATCACTCCATCCCAGACAGGAGCAGCAGCCTTTGGGTATATTCTTGCAGCCTTCCTTGTGCCTTCTTAAATTGCTTATTGCCTTTTCCTTTTTCCAAAGCTGAGATCATCTCATAAAATTTTTGTGGCCTGCAGTTGAGGCTGCATAGAGAAGCAAAAATTGTAACATAAAAATATTCACTGATGAAATGACCACTCAGCATTTCTGATTTTTCCTGTAAAGCTTGAGTTTATTCACTCATTAACCACTGTTTCTGTCTCTATGCTGGGGGCTATTACAATGCAGATGGATTGGGAAGTTATTTCTTGAGGTCAGTGAAGGATACTGGAGATCTATATGCTCACTGACAAATCTGTCTAGGTTGGACCAGTTGAAAAACTGATGAAGAAATCAACAGAGATGACAACAAGATAGGCACTTTATTTTATTTTTTTTAAGATTTTATTTATTAGAACGGGGTGGGGGCAGAGGGCTAGAGAGAAGCAGGCTCCCTGCTAAGCAGGGAGCCTGATGAAGGTCACAGCCTGATGCAGGACTTGATCCCAGGACCCCAGGATCATGACCGGAACTGAAGGTAGACACTTAATGAACTGAGCCACCCAGGTGCCCTGAGGATAGGCTCTTTAAAGAAGAGTATTGGACATGACATCATATTAACGTAACCTTTGGGGAACATCAGTATAGCTCCTGGGTAGTGTTGCCATTATGATGCCATGTAAGCAAGACAAAATGAAGGATGTGATGTTCTATTGTCTATCATTTTGTTGGAAAAATCACCACCACCCCCCCAAAAAACCCACTATTTTTATTTCACTCTTTGATCCAATATTTAGTACATGAGTATAAAGGTTGCCTATATGTTGTTAAACTGCTAAGTATGTTTTATCTTACATTTATAGGGTACGTTTTCAGTATAAATTTCCTATCAAATTTTTGTTTCCCATTATGAATATGAATGCTTATTATGAATATGAATACTTAATAGCCTTTTACTAGGACTGTTTATTGGTGATAACAGGGAACACCTGTATTTAATTTTTTCTTAATTCTCTAAACTGTTTCTGTCTGCTGTAATAAACACTGTAGTTCCCCTTACCTATGGTTTCACCTTCTGCGGTTTCAGTTACCTGAGATCAGCCTCGGTCTGGAAGCAGATGATCCTCTTTCTGACATGCTGTCAGAAGGTCAGTGGTAGCCTAAAGCTGCTGCCTGTGTCATTCCCCTCCCTTCATCTTATCACATAGGCATTTTATCATCTCACATCATCACAAGAAGAGTATAGTTCAGTAAGATATTTTGAGAGACCACATTCATATTACAGTATATAGTTATAATTGTTCTATTTTGTTATTATTGTTAAACTCTTACTATGCCTAATTTATAAATTAAACTTTATCATAAGTGTGTATGTATAGGAAAAACATAGTGTACGTAGGGTTTGACAGTGCAATTTCAGGCATCCACTGAGGTCTTAGAACATATCCCCTGCGGATAAGGAGGGGGAGACTACCATAGTAACCAGATAACCACATTTTTTTTTCTAGTGAGTAAGCATATGCTAGAAAAGCTAATTTTGTCTAAAATTAAGTACATACTTAAAAACATAGAACTACAGGTCATAATAAATTTCCTTAACCTTTTTTAGGTCTAAATACTGGTCCAATGTAGAAGGTACCACTCTGTCTTTCCTGGAATTAAGGCCAGATTTCTCATATTCTTCTCACTGATATATTGATGACTAGTCATCATTAGACTGGTGTATGCAAAAAATCTTTGCTAATCTGCTGTAGTGGGTTTTTGATTGTGTGCTTTTATTCCTTTTTTTTTTTTTTAAGATTTTATTTATTGACAGAGACAGCGAGAAAGGGAACATAAGCAGCGGGAGTAGGAGAGAGAGAAGCAGGCCTCCTGCTGAGCAGGGAGCCTAATGGCATGGGGCTTGATCCCAGGACTCTGGGATCATGACCTGAGCCAAAGGCAGATGCTTAACGACTGATGTAAAAATTTATGAAGAATGAGAAGTAGGTAGTACATGTCCCTGAACGAAAGATAAAAGTGTTTTTAGTAATGTTGACACAGTTTTCTTTGAAAGATTAGCCCTGGAAAACTTCAGATTTTGTAAGATTGTCACAGAAGAATGGTTGATTCTTTTGTGCGTTCTTTTTTTTTTTTTTAAAGATTTTATTTATTTTATTTATTAAATAAATAAATAGAGAGCTAGTGAGAGCAGGAACACAAGCAGGGGGAGTGGGAGGGGGAGAAACAGCCTGATGCGGGGCTCGATCCCAGGACCCTGGGATCATGACCTGAGCCAAAGGCAGACGCTTAACGACTGAGCCACCCAGGCGTCCCTCTTTTGTGTGTTCTTAAAAATTGGGGCATTTTTGTCTTTATCTAAATGGCAATTATAATTCAGTACGTCTGGAGACATACCTTCTACTCTGAGTTCTCCTGCCAGACCACCAAATGGTCTTGGAGAAGCCAAGGAGCCCCTCTGCCTTGCCTTCTCAGGCTGTCAGATGATGACACTCTATGCAGTACCTTTAAACGCTCAGCATGTGAAGGGAAAGAGGATTTGTAAGTACAGAGGTGTTTGTAAAACTTTGTGACAATGAGTGAAAGCTGTTTAGAATCAGTTATGGTACCTCCCTTGCAGTTTCATTTGGAAATCAAGAAACACAACACAGGTCATGATCCATAAGAATATAACTGGTTTATTACTTATCTCAAAGTAATAAGATGCTACTTATTTTCATTATCCCTGTTGTTTTTTTGTTTTTTTTTTTACAGTCCATCAATATTATGGAACTGACTTTACAGAAATATGGAAGTTATGAAAAATTTGAGCAGGCCACTGGTGGCAGCCTGCTATCTAAAACTCGAATCTGGAGTCATGTTCGGAAGTACATGATGAAGGAAGGCTGCCTGGGTGAGGTATGAATCAGGAGTGACACGAGATGCTGTTGGCATTTTAACTGCTCATCTAATTAGTCACCCAGAGATCTCACTAAATTGAAGTGCTGTGTTCAGTTTCTTTGTGTTTTTCTTTACTTACTCCCCTTTCTGTATAGCTTATGGGATTATGGGAATTTTTTAATGAAAATTATTAATGAAGCAATTTGCCTCAGTGGCCGCCTCTTAGCAGCCAGTTCAAAATGGCCAAGCAGAGAAGCGGACTCGGGCTTGTGCACCTACCTTTGCCTCATTTTAACCAGGGGGGACTGTATTTGACAGCAGCACAACAGGGCACTGCCTCCTCAGCACAGCCCTCTACTTTCCTTTAACCCAGGAAAGGTTCTTGAGTGGCGCATGCTCAGAAGTGGAAGCGTCAAAAGTGATTACCATTTTCTTGGTATCTGGGAGATTCAAACTGGTACAAGCAAAATAAAAATATACGGTATCATATGATCTCAGTGATAGGAGGCATTCTTAATCTCAGGAAACAAACTGAGGGTTGCTGGAGTGGGGGGTAGGGTGGGAGGGATGGGGTGGCTGGGTGATGGACATTGGGGAGGGTATGTGCTATGGTGAGCGCTGTGAATTGTGCAAGACTGTTGAATCTCAGATCTGTACCTCTGAAACAAATAATGCAATATATGTTAAGAAAAAAAAAAGAAGATAGCAGGAGGGGAAGAATGAAGGGGGGGAAATCGGAGGGGGAAACGAACCATGAGAGATGATGGACTCTGAGAAACAAACTGAGGGTTCTAGAGGGAAGGGGGGTGGGGGGATGGGTTAGCCTGGTGATGGGTATTAAAGAGGGCACGTATTGAATGGAGCACTGGGTGTTATATGCAAACAATCATGAAACACTACATCAAAAACTAATGATGTATGGTGATTAACATAACATAATACAATTTAAAAAAAAATTTTAAATAAATAAAATACTGATTTATGGGTCTGTTGTTTCCTGTGAAAGCTTCCTTTCCCGAGCCTTTACATTTTGTTTTATATGTATATATTTTTTTCCTCTTGCTTCTTAGATCGTAGTTCATCTCACTGAAGACCTGCTTTCCCGAGCTTCAATGACAGTGGTAAATGGGTGCCCAACATTGACCATTAATGTTTCCACGGCACGTGAGCACTGGCTGGAGGGAATGCTGAGGCATGAAATAGGTAGGGGCAGCCCTTCTCCATTTGTTCACGTGTAATATCAGAAATCAGCAGCAAAGAAACATTCTTTTATGATGGGTTTTTTCTTAACAGTATTTGGCAAAAGGTAATGAAATTGTTAGGTTTCATTTGAACTAAGATATTAATGTCTCACTTCAAATTAGATTTTTTTAAGGTACCATGTAGCTGTGTTAAGCTTGGAAAGTCATTTAACTCCCGGGTTTCACCTCCCCACGTTTCTGAAACTGAGGGAAATGGAACTGAGTGCTCTCTGAGATTCTTGTCAAATACCAAGTCTCTGATTCTTCCCTTTAAGAAAATAAATGGTATAGGGGCGCCTGGGTGGCTCAGTCGTTAAGCGTCTGCCTTCGGCTCAGGTCATGATCACAGGGTCCTGGGATCGAGCCCCGCATCGGGCTCCCTGCTCGGCGGGAAGCTTGCTTCTCCCTCTCCCACTCCCCCTGCTTGTGCTCTCTCTCTCTCTGTCAAATAAATAAATAAAATCTTTAAAAAATAAAAAAATAATTTAAAAAATAAAATAAATGGTATAAAAGTTACACCTCTTCTAATGAGACATGCGGTCCTTCTGAAGGCAGAGTAGCTCCTTCAAAATGCTTTAGGGTCAGGTCATTTTCCACTTTGTTTTGATTCAGAGGTACACATCAATTTGGTTTTAGAACTGTTGGTAGAATCTTTTTTGGATAAGAATTAAAATGAGAATGTCCTTTCTTGTTTTTCACGCGCCTTTTCTTCTCCACAGGCACACATTATTTTCGAGGTATTAACAACCTTCAGCAGCCATGGAACAGTTGGACTGGCCGCAAAAAACATGAGCTAAAGCCAAACAATCCCACAGAGGAAGGACTGGCAAGTATTCACAGTGTCCTTTTTAGAAAAGACCCCTTTTTATGGAGGGCTGCCCTCCTCTACTACACTGTTTATCGAGCCAGCCAAATGTCTTTTTGCGAACTCTTCAAAGATATTGGAAAGTTTGTCAAGGACCCCAATACAAGATGGGATTATTGTGTACGAGCCAAGAGGGGATGGACTGATACTTCCCAACCAGGTGAGTGTCTCTTGACTGTAGATTTGCCTTATGGTTAGTTGTCTATTGATTTTGATCACATCCTTATCCACCAATCAGAGAAATCACTCACTTATAAAAAATTAAACCTTTGTTACTTGAGGTCCGTGCTAGTTTTCCCAAACCATATTTTGTTAGCATTCTTTTTTCAGATCTCATTTTGAAAAATTTCAAACCTACGGACATATGGAAATGATAGAATTAACACTCATATTACCCATCCTCTAGATTGACCAATTGTTAACTTTTTGCCAGTTCTGCTTTTTCTTGCTCTGATTTTAAAAACAGCTTTACTGAGATATAATTCACATGACCTACAGTTTGCCCATTAAAATGTATAGCTCAGTGGTTTTTAGAATGTTCATGGAGTTGCGCAGCTATCACCACTATCTAACTCCACAACATTTTCGTAACCCCAAAAAGAAACCTGTACCCATTAACAGTCATTCTCCATTCCTTCTTCGCCAAGCTCCCAGCTCTAAGTAACCGTTAATCTACTTTTATAGGTTTGCCCATTTTGGACATTTCATTTAGATGGAATCACATAATATGTAATCCTTTGTGTCTGACTTCTTTCACTTAGCATAATGTTTTTAAGGTTCATCCCTATGGTAGCATGTATCAGTATTCTGTCCTTTTTATTGCTGAATAACATTCTATTGCATGTATAAGACACATTTTATTTTTCCATTCACTGTTAATGGACATTTGAGTTGTTTCCTCACGTTTTGGCTATTATAATGTTACTGTGAACATTTGGGTACAAGTTTATATTTTTAATTCTCTTGGGTATATACTTAGGAGTAGAATTGTTGGGTCATATGGTAACTCTCTGTTTAAGCTTTTGAGGAACTGCCAGATTGTTCTCCAAAGTGAATGTGATATTTTATATTCCCACCAGAAGTATATGGGATTCTTATTTTTCCATATCCTCACCAACACTTACCAATACTTGTATTTTCATTTTTAAAATTATTATAATCGTCTTAGTGGGTATCTCATTGTTTTAATTTTTTAATTAAAAAAATTCCAGTATAATTAACATACAGTGTTATATTAGTTTCAGGTGTACAATATAGTGATTGAACAATTCTGTACATTATTCAGTGCTCATCACGATAAGTACTCTTAATCCCCATCACCTTTTTCACCCATCCCCCACCCACCTCCCCTCTGGTAACCCTCAGTTTTTTCTCTATATTTAAGAGTCTGGTTTTTTGTTGTTGTTGTTTTTCTTTGTTTTGTTTCTTAAATTCCACATATGAGTGAAATCATACGGTACTTATCTTTCTTTGACTTATTTCAGTTAGCATTATACCCTCTAGATCATCCCATGTTGTTGCAAATGGCAAGATTTCATTCTTTATTATGGCTGAGTAATAATCCATTGTGTGTGTGTGTATATAAAAACACACATATTAAACATACACCACATCTTCTTTATCCATTCATCTATCATACACAGGTTGCTTCTATTAATTTGGCTATTGTAAATAATGCTGCAGTAAACCCAGGGGTGCATATATCTTTTCAAATTGGTGTTTTCGTATTTTGGGGTGAATACCCACTAGTGCAATTACTGGATCATACGGTAATTCTGATTGTTTTAAGAACCATCATACTCTTCCACAGTAGCTGTCCCAGTTTGCATTCCCACAAACAGAGCACCAGGGTTCATTTTCTCCACATCCTCACCTTGCTTCTTGTGTTTTTGATTTTAGCCATTTTCACAGGTGTGAAGTGTTTTGATTTGCCTTTGCCTGATGATGAGTGAAGTTGAGTATCTTTTCATGTGTCTGTTGGCTATCTGTATGTCTTTTTTTAAAATGTTTTATTTAAATTCAATTTAACATATAGTGAGTGTATCATTAGTTTCAGAGGTAGAATTTAGTGATTAATTAGTTGCATAGATTACCCAGTGCTCATTACATCGAGTGTCCTCCTTTAAGCCCATCACCCAGTTACTCCATCTCCTTCCCCTCCAGCATGTATGTCTTCTTTAGAGAACTGTCTCTTTGTGTCTTCTGCCCATTTTTAATTGGATTATTTCAGGGTTTATTTGGTGTTGAGTTGTATAAGTTCTTTTATATATTTTGATTACAAACCCCTTATCAGATATATCATTTGCAGATATCTTCTCCCATTCACTAGGTTATCTTTTTGTTTTGTTGGTTGTTTCCTTTGCTGTGTAAAAGTTTTTTATTTTCATGTAGTGCCAATAGTTTATTTTTGCTTTTGCTTCCTTTGCTTCAGGAGACATATCTAGAAAAATGTTGCTATGGCCAGTGTCAAAGAAATTATTGCCTGTGCTCTCTTCTGTGATTTTTATAGTTTCAGGTCTCACATTTAGGTCCCTAATTCATTCTGAGTTTATTTTTGTGTATAATGTAAGAAAGTGGTCCAGTTTTCCCAGTGTCATTTGTTAGACTTTTTCTTATTGCATATTCTTGCTTCCTTTGTCAAAGATTAATTGACCATATAATCATAGGTTTATTTCTGGGCTCTCTATTCTGTTCCATTGATCTGTGTGTCTGTTTTTCTACCAGTACCATACTGTTTTGATTACTAGAGCTTGGTAATATATCTGGAAATCTGGTATTATGATAACCTCCAGTTTTATTCTTTTTCCAGATTATTTTGGCTATTTGGGGTCTTTTGTGAGTCCATACAAATTTTAAGATTATTTGTTCTTGTTCTATGAAAAATGCTATTGGTATTTTGATAGGGATTGCATTAAATCTGGAGATTGCTGGGTAGTATGGACATTTTAACAATATTTGTTCTGCAAATCCATGAACATGGAATATCTGTGTCATCTTCAGTTTCTTTCATCAATGTTTTATAGTTTCTAGAGTACAGGTCTTTCACCCCTTTGGTTAAGTTTATTCCTAGATATTTTATTATTTTTGGTACAATTGTAAATGGGATTTTCTTATTTTCTCTTTCTGCTGCTTCATTATTTGTGTATAGAAATGCAGTGGATTTTTGTATATTGATTTTGTATCCTACAACCTTACTGAATTCATTAATCAGTTCTAGGAGACTTTTAGTGGAGTCTCTATATTAAGTTGATGATCTTCTTAAGTTTGAACCCATACATAAAGCATTAAATTTGTACTCCTCTCCCTTCCACATTTTAGGTATGTGGTGTCATGACCTGAACCACAATTAAAAGCCAGATGTTCAACCAACTTAGCCACCCAGGTGCCCCCATATAACTTTTTTTTTTTTTAAGATTTTATTTATTTGACAGACATAGTGAGAGCCGGAACACAAGCAGGGGGAGTGGATGAGGGAGAAACAGGCCTCCCCATATAACTTTAAGAAAACTGTTTATTACTAAAAATTTGAAATTTGAAAAATTTCAAAAGAAGTGATTAATCGGATGTGCCCTCATTAAACATCACTTAATCTTAGTAATTATCAACATTTCCTAGCAGTGGGTCATCTATTCTTCTAAGTTCCTGTTTTCCTATAGTATTTTAAATCATTTCCAAACATCATGTTCTTTTACCTATAAGTACTTCAGTATGTATCTGATTTATTCCTCCTAAAAAGTAGGAACAGCTCATGAGATCTGAGCCTAGTTGAAAAAGTGTACCACCTTTTTTCCATAATTCCCATGCTATTAGCATACCCAAAAAAATTAATTTCTTTTCTTTTTTTTTTATTCTTATGTTAATCCCCATACATTACATCATTAGTTTTAGATGAAGTGTTCCATGATTCATTGTTTGTGCATAGCACCCAGTGCTCCATGCAGAATGTGCCCTCCTCAATACCCACCACCAGGCTAACCCATCCTCCCACCCCCCTCCCCTCTAGAACCCTGTTTGTTTTTCAGAGTCCATCGTCTCTCATGGTTCGTCTACCCCTCCGATTTCCCCCGCTTCATTCTTCCCCTCCCGCTACCTTCTTCTTCTTTTTTTTTTCTTAACATATATTGCATTAAAAAATTAATTTCTTAATGTATGACTTAATATGATAGAATTTTAGTCAATTTACACAAGTTATGGGAAAAAAGTTGTCTTTGTAAGTGGAACACTAACTAGGCTCAGATCTCATGAGCTATTCCTTTTCATGTTTTCATATTTTCCTCTATTTTTAAACCTCCATATTAAAATCCAGTTTTAATTTTGTTTTCATATGGAGGCAGAGTATCAACATCACCTATAGCTGTTTTTAATGGGGTAACGGGTAGTATTTTTAAAAACCAGGAGTTTCTGAAATCCCATGTCTCCACCTTGCCCCCTGTGAGACTTACTGCTCAATAGCTGTCCTCCCTGCTGCCCCAAGTGCCTCCATACACATGGGAGTTAAGGTTATGATCAAATGGTGGGAGTGTGGATGACATATCCTCTATTTTAAATCATCAGTGTTTTTTTATGATTAGAAAAAATGCTGTTTTAACTATGGGGAAGGGGGATCTGGGGACAAGAAATTCTTAAAGGGAAGCTACCAGTCTGCACATTATCCTGGTGCTACCCAAGACCTTGCATTTTATGTTATGAAGATAGTTAATTCTAATTTGCCATTTTTATTTTTATTCAGGACTGATGCCTACAGTAAGGGGACTGTGTTAGTATCTAATTACTTAGAAAATAAAAGCTATTGTCTTCCTCCAGGGTGCTTCAGTAAAGACCAGGTATACTTGGATGGTATTCTACAAATCCTCCGATACAGAGAGACCATTGACTTTCATCTTCTGACCGCCCTGGGGAAGGTGAGTGAAACCAGTGGCATGTAGTCTACAACACACCAGGTCATCATTTCCTCAGGCTTGATTTAATGATTAAATAAGGTTCAGATTCAAATTGTTTTTAGACTATGTGTTTGAAGTTTCCTGGAGGAAGAAATAATGGTGTCACAAAGCCAAACTCCAAAATTTCTCTGAAGAGAATAGGAAATTTGGCAATGTATTACATGGTTTTATTTTATATAGTGCTTTCTCTAAAGCATTTTAAATAAGCTGCAAGTATAACACTTCCCCCTTTAATCTGGCATGACCCTGTGATTTTCTTAAGAAATCACTGATTGGATAAGGATTCATGCCTTACATTGGGTTATAATATTTAATCTCTCTTAATCTATAGAAGTCCACTTTGTTCCCTGCCCCCCGCCCAAGTCTTTATTTTTCCTGACATTTTTCTTGAGAATTCTTACAATCTGTATTATCCTATTGTTTTCTTGTGATTAGGTTTGGGTTAAACATTTTTACCAAGAATACTACATAAGTGACTTGTATATTTCATCACCTTAAAAAGCACATATGTGATTTTGTTCCATTATCAGTGATGCTGTATTTGATCACTTGGGTAAGTTAGTTACTGCCAGCTCTCTCCCTTGTTTTGTAAAGGTACCTTTTTTATATTAAATAATCTGTGGGGTAATACCTAAGAATGTACTGTTCCTTAACCTTCCAAGGAATGGTTTTAACATCCTTTGATGATCTTTGCCCATATCAGTCAGCAAAATAGAGATCTTCAAATTCTGTTACATTTCACTCCTTTTTTGCATTATTATTATGGACTTAAGTGTTTTTTTATTCAACCCTTCCAGTGGCTGCTCCTGTTTTCTGGCAAAGTAAAATGTTCTGGGTCCATCTTACACCTTTTCTATCCAGATCTCAGATGAGCTATTTCTCCAAGGAAGACTTGATTCCTTTTAGTGAAAATGGTATTTAGAAAACAGTGAGTACTAGGTGTGCTCATTACTCCTGGAATATTGATGCTTCTAGGTTTTCCCAGTGAGCAAATCATGTATTTGTTTTAAATCATAAGGGGATTCTAATTCAAATCAGACACTGCAAGTTTCTTTTACACCTCCCTTTCCATATGTGTATCTCCTTTCTCTTTATATGAGAACTGTGTTTTATGTTTACTCATTCTTTCCTATAATAAACTCAGGATGGTTTAAGAAACAGTGGGTATACAAAGAAATCAAAGAGGAAACCAAAAAAATACATGAAAACAAATGAATATGAAAACACAGTGGTCTAAAACTTTGGGGACACAGTAAAAGCAGTTCTAAGAAGGATGTTTATAGTGATACAGGCCTACCTTGAGGAACTAGAAAAGAACAAAGCTAGTAGAAAAGATCAATGAAACCAGGATCTGGTTTTTTGAAAGATAAACAAAATTCATAAACCTTTAGCCAGACTCATTAAGAAGAGAGGACTCAAATCAGATACGAAAGAGGAGAAATAGGATACCACAAAAATAGAAACATACAATCCTCTAAAACTGAATCAGGAAGAAGTAGAGAATTTGAACAGACTGATTACTAGTAATGAAACTACATCAGTAATAAATGAATTCCCAACAAACAAAACTCCCAACAGCTAGGACCACATGGCTCCATGGATGAATTCTAAATTCTACCAAAGAGTAAATATAATTCTCAAACTCTTCCAAAAACACAGAAGAGGAAAGAAAATTTCCAAATTCATTCTGCAAGGCCAGCATTATCCTGATACTAAAACCAAAGTCACTACAAAAAAAACTACAGGTCAGTATTTGCAAATCAGTCATGATACATCACATCAATAACAAAGAATTTAAAACCACATCATTTCAATAGATGAGGAAAAAAAAGTTTGACAGAGTACAACATCCATTAGTGATAAAAACCCTTGACAAAGGTTTAGAGGGAACATACCTCAACATAATAAAGGCCATAAATTAAAACCCAAGAGCCAACAATGAAAAAACTGAAAGCTTTTCAAAACTCCTCTAAGATCAGGAATGAGACCAGGATGTCCATTCTTACTTTTTTTTTTTTCAACATAGTACTAGAAGTCCTTGCTGTCAGACAAGAAAAAGACATAAAAGGCATCCACATTAGAAAGAAGTAAAACCATCAGATGACATACTATATATAGAAAACCCTAAGGACTCTACCAAAAAACTGTTAGAATAAATGAATTCAGTAAAATTACAGGATACAAAAATCTATTGCATTTCTATACAATAACAACAAAGCAGAAAAAGAAATTAACAATCCCACTTATCGTACTAAAAGCATAAAATACCTAGAAATAAATTAACCAAGGAGGTGAAAGACCTATATTCTGAAAACTAGAAGACACTGATGAAAGAAATTGAAGATGACACTAACAAGTGGGAAGATAACACTGTGTTCTTGGATTGGAAGAATTAATTTTGTTAAAATGTCCATACTACCCAAAGCAATATACAGATTCAGTGCAATACCAATCAAAATACCAGTAGCATTTTTCACAGAACTAGAATAATCAATCCTGAAATTTGTATGAAACCACAAACAACGTCAAGTAGCAAAGCCATCTTAATAAAGAAGAACTAGGTTAGAAGTATAATAACCCCAGATTTCAAGATATACTACAGAGCTATAGTAATTGAAACAGTATGGAATTGATACAGAAATAGATATATAAAACATTGGAACAGGATAACCTAGATCATTTAATTTATGACAGAAGCAGAGTACACAGTGGAAAAAAGACACTTCCTCAATAAATGGTGCTGGGAAAACTGGACAGCTGCATGCAAAAGAATGAAACTGGACCACCTTCTTACACCATACACAAAAATAAACTAAAAATGGATTAAACACCAAAAACCTAAAAGGAAACCTATACAGTTTATCTCTTGGACATATTTATGGATAGGTCTTGTCGGTTGAGGAAGGAAGAAGAAAAAATTAAACCACACCAGTATCAACAACAAACCTATTTTCATTACTTAGTGGTAGAAATACTCAAAATAATTTCAATAATAACTTAAAAATTAAAACCTAAGGGGCATCTGGGTGGCTCATTCAGTTAAGTGTCTGCCTTTGGCTCAGGTCATGGTCTTGGGGTCCTGGGATCAAGCCCCATGTCAGGCTCCCTGCTCAGCGGGGAGTCTGCTTCTCCCTCTGCTTGTGTGCTCTCTAATAGATAAAATAAAAAAATGAAAACTTATTAAAGTATAAATGAACATGATTTCTTTATTTAAAGCCTTTCTACTGAATCTTAATTTTTAGAACTTAAAGAGTTTCATCCATAAACTCAATATAAATACTTACAAGAGATTGGCTTCTTACCTAATTAAAAAAATAAAAATATAAAAGTAAAAAAAATACTTCTTACATAAGTAAAAAGATTTTATAGGATACTTGTTTACAAAGAGAATTTAACATAAAACAATTTTATTTCTGAAATTAAATAGAAATAGGAATTCAGTCTATAATCGTGCTGATTTTCCTAATTCAGTGATACGGTATTTATATTCTAGCTGTTTCCTGGGTTCTTTCATTTAGATTTAGTCAGGACATTTGTTTAGGTTTTAGTCTCTCACACACATGTATTAAGTTTAGTTATGTAAATTCTAGACAAACAGTATAGGTCCAAGATAGAATGTTAAATACTGACTTGATTTTTTTTTTTTTTTAAGATTTTTATTTATTTATTTGACAGAGAGAGACACAGCGAGAGAGGGAACACAAGCAGGGGGAATGGGAGAAGGAGAAGCAGGCTTCCCGCAGAACGGGGAGCCCAATGCGGGACTCGATCCCAGGACCCTGGGATCATGACCTGAGCCGAAAGCAGACGCTTAACGACTGAGCCACCCAGGCGCCCCTGACTTGATTTTTTTTTTTTTTATGGTCATGGTATGAGCAGGCAGAACAATACTTTTTTTTTTTTTTTTTTTAGTATGGGTGCAGAGGGAGGGGGGAGAGAGAGAATCTCAAGCAGGCTCCACGCCCAGAACGTGAGCCCAATGCAGGGCTCCATCTCACAACCCTGAGATCATGACCTGAGCTGAAATCAGGAGTCGAACACTTAACCTAATGTGCCACCCAGGTGCCCCAATACATTTGTATTTAATACAGTAAGGGAAAGGAAGCCATTGATTTTTGTTATTTTGCAGGTATTGAAGTAATGTTTCTCTTAAGACTTAGGGAAGAAATTACTTACATTTAAAAATTAACCCACCTTCCTTTTTTCAGGTCTCTTACGAAGATGTGGATCGCTTGAAAGGATTGGCAGTTATTGAAAACATGAGGGTCCCTCATTTCCTGCAGGACCATGGCCGATACATGGAACATTTAGAGAAGATTATGGAAGTGAATGAACTGACTGACAGGGAACTGAAAGATCTTATATATTAGTCTGCGTTCTGGCAGATGTAGCTAAGCTATACCTCTGTGTATGTTAGCACCGGCATATTGATAAAAGAAAAATGACTGTTTACATGACTTTTCTAAAGAACGATCTGCAGTATTCAACTGAATTTTTTAAAAAGGTTAAATACAAACCTTAAACGTTTCTATAGGCTGCAGGGGGAAGTTCCTCCTATTTTTATCTGAATCTCAACAGCATCCACTGAAAATACTACTGGTGAGTGTTTTTGAAGAATCTTGGCCAAATCAAGTGATAGGCTGTGTGGGCAGTAAGCACTGCTCCTTAGTGCTTCTGCCTGAGCACCAAGACTAGCCCCAACTATAGAGATAGGACAACACTGGACTTCAGACTCCCAAGATTATATTTTATTTGATAAGTGATTATAGTTCTCCTTTGAAAAATTAGTTTTGTTTTGCTCCCCAAAGCTAGCTGTATCTAAGGTTTCTTATTTCTCTTATATGTTAAGTAATGTTAAAAAGGGGAAAGGTAGTTTGAAAAGTTTTCATTAGTTCTTTATCTTCCACATTGTTTCACCTTATCAGTTTATAGGAACTAGAGAATTACCTCATTTTGTCCAGTTATTTCTCAACTAAACTTTATTTGCTGAAACATTATATACCTTCAAGATTTTAAGTTTTAGGGTCTTTCCCTCCCCATTCCTTTATATAAATGATAAGTAAAAGTTCCAGAAAGGTTTGTCTACATAAATTAAAACAGTTGGGGAAGAGAGAAGCTACTCCCCTTTTTATTAAATGGAGCGACTAGCAAGATACAAATAGATTAATGTAGTTCTTGGAGGCACCGGATACTGACTAGGTAGTGTCTACCATAAACTTGACCATGCTCTGAAAAATGGAATTCCTAGACATTGCTATTTGATAAACTGGCCTTGTCATGTTGGCTCAGTATATTTTATCGAAATCTTTGACTTCATTAACCCAATAATGACATAGTTTGAATTTCAAAAATGAGAATTCTGTTTTGCTGTATTTTCTCTGTTAAAAGCTTATACACCTAGCTTTGTATTATCAATTTCGATATATATTGGATATATATACTTGGGATCAAATGGTTCTTCAAACAACTTATTTGAATGATCAGGAAGAACACTGCTGTAAGCACCCCATTCAAAATTGCTACTGTAATTTTTACCCAAAGCTATCTTGAGTGTTTATCTTTACCTCAGTTCAGGCTTAAATATGGTGCTAACACTGGTAGATGCATACAGCAAAGTCTGGTTCACATTCATGCTAGGAAATGATTTTAGGAAATCTTACGCAGGCTAGGTTATGTGATTTTTCTCATTCACATATCTAGAAGGGCTTGCCTCAAAGAAGAATGTTGCAGCAAATAGGATATATTCTAACTGGCACCTGGTGGTTCTTGCAAAGCCACACATCTCACCTTTGGTAAGTAGCAGGCCAGGCCCTTCGGAGCATTAAAGGCACGCACACATGTGTCATGATGGCCGGGGTGTGGCCTGTAGATTCTGTGCAGGGTTGGGGCACATTGTGCCAACACTAACCAGATACTGGAAAACCACTCTTGACCCCTCCAGCATATTTCCTTGTAGCAGAGTCATCCAGTTTCAGCTTTGGTGTAGCATTTTCTAACTTCATCTTCAAACTTACCCAAGATGATTGTGAAAAACAGTGTTTTGTTAACTGGAATTGAAGTATAAACAGAAATGACCATATTTATGTCCTGTGATTTAAGCCCAAATGCTTATAAATTCAACATTTGTAGGCAATAACACTGTTAATCTTATGTTATGGTTTAAATGTAAAGGAAAATCACAGCAGCCTTAATATCCTGTTGGTAGGATTATTTACAATGATTCTAGTCCCTGAATTTTAAAATGATATTCGCTATCTGATTTGGAAAAGGAAACACTTGCTTGCCTTACTGCTTTGGTATAAAGACAAAAAGAAAACAGTGTTATCCAGACCAAAAAAAAAAAAAAAGACCTTAAATCACATTGATTGTCTTAAGATATTTTAAAAGTTAGCAGTGAACCAAAAATAGTTTCAGATTAGCAGAATACTTAAAGAGCTCTAAGCTTTAAAAGTTGGGATTGAAGATTTAATTAATGTTTATTCTCTTTCCTGAAAGAGCATTAAGTTCAGTTCTGTTCCCTTAAAATTGAAGTTTTAATAAACAGAAAATTATAGGAACAGTACTTAGAATAGTTGAAGGTTGCATTAATTTTAATAGTTACTTGGTATAAGCTGTTGAGGATTAGGATTTCATCAATTTTGTCCACCGTAATTCTAACATATAGTTGTATCAAATACAAAGTCTGATAAACTGTTAGATTTTCACATCAGATGGGATTCAAAGTAAATTGTTTGTAGACATAAATCCATAGTCTTCATTTCTTTATATTTTCACCTTTGTAAAAATGTTTAAAATTTGTATTTGTTTTGTGTGTATCTGGGCATTTTATGTTTAGCTATCGTAGAAAGAAGTAGCACTGAAGTTCTCAAATGAAGTATGTGAATATGTATGCATGCAAACTTCTGTTCTTTGAAAACTTAATTATATTTTTATTGTGGTATTTCTGCATTTTTATTGTGTGGTAATTATTGAAAAGTAGTTATTGGTCATGTTTGTTTTCTAATATCCTTATTTATAAGGAAATACTATATTTACCACACTCCACCCTTCCCCTGATTAGTTCAGCTTATACTCTAATGAGTTTAGGGAGAAGGGAAAAGGAGGGATAATTTTGTCTTAATTTACTGCGCTATTCATTGAGTAAACTTCTGTGCAGAATGTCCTGAGGAGTAGGATCTGTGCTGAGTCCTCTGCTGAGGAAGACAGAACTGTTCAGAGTCCAGTGAGGAAGAGTGGCACAGAATCACATTATAGCATGGCCAGTCGCATACACAAAAAGTGCTACCAAAAGATCATAAATTGTAATAAATGGGCCTGCTTGTGTGTTTGAATCACAGAGAGAAAGATCACTTGCAAAGTGGTTAGTGTCCATAATATTTTGTTTACCACTCTTTGCAAGGCTTGTGTTTGGAATCTGAGCAGCTTTAGCCCAGTAGACCAGATGTACAGCTGCTTGGGTCAAGGGCCTGGAGGCAATCCCTTGAGACCTCCAGCAGGTGCCCAAAGGAGCCAGTGCTTTACCCTTATTAGTCTTGGTCTTTGAATTTGAACCTTTACTTGTGAGACCTTGTCACCTCGCTTTGATTTCATCCATTTTTGTTCACTCTCATTCCAGTAGCTAAAGGAATTATGTCTTGAAACTATTGCTGGGATGTGAAATACCACTGTTTGTCAGCAAGCTATGGAATAGCTTTAAGAATACGTAGAATTTTGAGAACAGAGAGGGAGGACCATATGAAGAGGAAGCAAGAGGATGGCCATCTGCAAGCCAAAGAGAGATGCCTGGAATAGACCCTTCCCTATGGCCCTCAGGAGAGATCAAACATGCAAATACTTTTATCTTGAACTTTTAGCCTTCATAACTGAAAGGAATTGCACCTAGAGAAAGGACAAAGCAAAGACAGCAGAAATTTTACCACTGAGAAGAGATGACTGAACATTTCCTCTTCCCAGCCACTCAGTTAGCCTTACTAAAGAAGTGATGTCAGCAACATGGCTGAACAAGATGTCCCTCATTTGTGCCCCCTCCCCAGCCTCCCACCAATGATTTGGCATCGATCCATGGACAGAAATGCCTTTGTGGGACTTTGGGATCCAGCAGCATATAACAAGCAACCCAGGAGGAATTTTGCCCACCCTTGCATTCTGTAAAAAACATACAGACCTAGGTCCTGGCTTGGACCCAGCAGTAGCCTGTGAACAAGCTTCGGCCCTTCTCAGCAGCAGTCCGCAAACCCCTAGAAAATACTAAATCATCTTAAGCGGTCACCCGTGGACAAGAGAGACCTTGTATAAGTCCAAGTTTCCAGCAGAGAAGTTTTAGCATACCACTGGAGCAAAAAAGTATGTTTAGATGCATTAAAGAGGAATAGTTTAGACTTATCACTCCTCCCTCAAGGTGGAACAACTCAAGGCCAAGAGAGGTCTCAGCCTGTGGTTTCTCCTGGGGGGGGCTAAAGGGGGAAGTGAGAGTGAGTGAGTGCCCAGCTTCCCCAGCTGTGCAGGATGCCACCTAAGAGGCCCATTTCACTGTGGTCCCATCCAGAGTACTGAACCATGAGCTATGTGACTAGGGGGTGGAAAGAAGCTGGGAGAGTAGAAGATACGACTTTTGGAGGTCATTAAAAGGACATAGAATCTACTAACTGCTTCACAGCCTCCATTAAGCTGGCTCATGAGCTGCTAAGGATACCTTACCCATGGATCTCCCTGAGTAGTCTATGGGAACCCCCCAATGCTTCATGTAACTAACACACACGCACACCACACACACACACACACACCACCACCACCCCACCCCACCCCCCATGGCTGGCTCTCTCTGTGCACTCCCAACAGGGTTGAGAGCATATTTTGGCAGAGGGTAGTGAGCATGTGCAAAAAGCCAGCCCAAATTCATGGGCCAGAGAGGCCACAAACTTGAGCTTTAGCCCTACCCTTGGGAAAGCAAAAGGAAGACTGTCAGCACTGAACCTTGTCCGTTGCAAAATTGAGAAGGCATACAAGCTTAAGAATTCTGCCACAAGAGGTAGCAAGACGCATGGAGCAGGCATATCCATAGAAAGTCACAGATTCTCTACCAGAGCTGACTGAAGGTTGTTTTTTTTTTAAGATTTTCATGTATTCATTTTTAGAGCACACATGTGAGTCGGGGGGAGGGGAGAGGAAGGGAGCGAGAGAATTCTTAAGCAGACTCCCCGCTAAACACGGAGCCCACATGGGGCACAATCCCAGGACTCTAAGATCATGACCTGAGCTGAAATCAAGGGTCTGATGCTTAACTGACTAAGCCACCCAGGCACACACCCAAAGGTATTTCCTGAAAATAGTAAAGATAGGAGGTGACTGCTACTTCAAATACAAAGACAATGCAAAACTCTAAGGAACATGAGAAATCAAGGAAACATGACACCACCAAAAAATGATGATAATCTAGTAACCGAACCCAAAGACATGGCGATCTGTTTACCTGATAAGGAATTCAAAATACCTGTTTTAAGGAAGCTTAAAGGCACAAGTGAGGTACAAGAATACACACATGAACAAAATGAGCAGTTTAACAAAGATATCATAAAAAGGACAAAGCATACTCTGGAATAGAAGAATAAAATGAATGAAATGAAAAATACAATAGCACCAACATCAAAGGATCAAGCAGGGGGAAAAAAAATCTAAGAAGATGGGAATTTTGAAATTATCCAGTGATGGGAGAATAAAGAAAGAATGAAAAAGAGTGATGAAAGCCTATGTGATCTATAGGATACCATCAAAAGAAATAATTTGCAAACTATTGGACTTGCAGAAGGAGAGAGGGAGAAGGGAGAAGAAAGCTTACTTTTTTAAAGAATAAGGCTAACACACACAAAAAAGGCTAAAAACTTCCCAAACCTGAGGAGAAATTTGGATATCCATAATCATGAAGTTCATAGGTTACCAAACAATCTCAGAAACCTTCTCCAAGACACAATAAAACTACCAAAAATCAAAGAATCTTAAAAGCAGCAAGAGCGGAGAAGCTTGTAACTTAAAGAGAACCCCATACTGTTGTCAGATTTCTCAGGAGAAACGTTACAGGCCAGGAGAGAGTGGGATGATATATTCAAGTGCTGAAAGAAAAAAAAAAACTGCTGAGCGTCAGCCAAGAAGATGGCTGAATAGGAGGACCCTAAGCTCACCTTGTCCCATGGATACAACTACCTAATACAACAACTAGATAGCATTCATATCAGTGTGAATAACCCAGAAAATGGCCCAAAGACTGGCAGAACAAACTCCACAACTAAAGGCTAGGAAGGGGCCGCATCAAAGGAGGTAGGAAGGGCAACAATGCAGTCGGGGAATGAAACAAACAATGGCCATCCACTGTGGGGAGGGAGCTAGTGACACAGAGAAGGGCAGAAAACAGACTTTCACACTGGGGAGCCCACGAATGGGGAGGATGAATCTCCATAATATCTGCCTTTGAAAGTAAGAGGGGCCTTTCACAGTTTGGCATTGTGGACATTGCTGCTATGAACACTGGGGTACATGTGCCCCTTCTTTTCACTACATCTGTATCTTTGGGGTAAATAGCCAGGAGTGCAATTCCTGGGTCATAGGGTAGCTCTATTTTTAACTTTTTGAGAACCTCCACACTGCTTTCCAAAGGGGCTGTACCAACTTGCATTCCCACCAACAGTGTAAGAGGGTTCCCCCTTCTCCACATGCTCTCCAACATTTTTTTCCTGCCTTGTTAATTTTTGCCATTCCTACCAAGATGTACTTCAACAGACGAATGGATAAAGATGATGTGGTGCATATATACAATGGAATATTACTCAGCCATCAGAAAGGATGAATACCCACCATTTGCATCGACATGGAAGGAACTGGAGGGGATTATGCTAAGGGAAATAAGTCAAGCAGAGAAAGACAATTATATGGTTTCACTGATATGTGGAACATAAGGAATAGCATGGAGGACATTAGGAGAAGAAGGAAAAATGAAGGGGGCGGGAATAAGAGGGGGAGACAAATCATTAGAGACTATGGACTCTGGGAAACAAAC